AATTATTCTTTGTCACTTCTTTTTCTCTTTCTAATAAAATGGCTTATGGTCTTGGTCTTCAGAATTTGCCTGTGAAAAGACAGTTCAAAGATGGGTGATGTCAATTAAAACATTTTGCTTTTGTAGTTTGGGAACAGTGTATTTTTGTTGTAGACTTTGACATAAAAGTGGTTTTCACTATAAATTATCTTACAAAACTGTTTTAACCTGAAAATAAAATCTTTTGTTTAAAAATAACATGGTTTGAATAATTTTAAATATGTGTCAAAACATCTTAATAGAATTCTTGAAACCAATAATTAAAAGAGTACAGAAAAATTTCCCTTCATTTTCAGAAATCTCTTTCCTCCCAGACAACAGTGACAAGTCAACTCGTTAATACCATGAAAAAGGGCTTTGAAAACAAAATGCAGCACACTATTGTTAGACAATTTATGGTGAAATAACAGTGGATCTTTGAACTCTAGAGCCTGCCATTGCTTAGTTTTTGTTGAACTCACTTAATCCGTGTCAAACATTTACATTTTTTTTTGCAAACTGTTAATCTCAGACAAACATAACTTGGCTGAATTGAACTAATCTAGGAAATGTTGTTGCCTTTCATCAGCCATTCCTTTGTAGTCATGACAAGCAGCTTGCAGAACAAGGTAAATCCATTTCAGTGTATTTAGATAATTAAAAAAAAAATCCTTTCTTGTTTCTGTTTCAGAACATAAAAAACATCCACTAAACCCCCACCAAAAAACCCACCAAAACCGAAGCTTTAAAATGGTGCTGTTTGTTTGGCTTACAAGTGAAGATTACTCCAGTTTCATTAAGTATTAAGCGCTGTGTTAAATACCTCCTCTGGATTTAGGGAGAGGACTGGATAGGATTGTATATCGAATATTGGTACTATCTGCATTTGTTAGCCTCTACCAAAAATCTTGGGTGTATGTTTCATAACCTGGGTTGTGCTAGAATGGTTCATACAAACTTGGCCTCTTGCCTACTACACTGATTTTGAGTAAACTTTGTCTGTTAGAGTATTGCTCATTTTTAATGTGACAGCTATAAGCATCACCAAGGGATCAGCTTCACTATGCCACAAACAACCAAATATAGCCTACAAACGATGTCATGAAACAGTGTAATTTGACAAGGAAATACAAGAGCATAAAGACATAAACAGGAAAAAGGTCACAGAAATGGAGACAAAAATGAATGTTTGTAAAAATGAGAAGGCTCTGTGCATCTTCCTGCTTTTATTTTCTTGGTCTTTGATAATCAACAGGATGCAAAGAAAATGCAGAGCCTCGCTTACACAGAAGCTTCTTGCAAAAAAAACATAGCAGCTGTACGAGCCTCATCAGAGCCGAGGCTAGTTAGCAGCCTTCTCCTTCAAAGGGTGACGTGTTGTCAAAACCATTAGAATTAGCTATTAGACCAATGGGCAGACAATATCAAATAATACTTTAAGCATTTTACCATTATATGATAATGCGTTTCAGGTTCAATTCTAACATATTTTCATGCCCAGCAATATCTAGTATCTACAGAATTCAGAACTGATCTCTGCTTTTGCATTGTGTTTATACGCGAAAGAAGCAGTAGTCATCTGGCAGTCGTTGTGCTGAATTTCCAGGCAAGAAATGCTTTTTTGTCTTCCTGTGCGAACCAATAGATTCAGCCAGACCCTGGAGCTTCACGTTTCATTTTCCTTGTAACTGATTGCTGCTTTAAACCATTGGTTAGGGTTTATTTACAGAATAATGCACAGTTCACAACCAAATGCCAAGCTATAATTGAATCAAAGGATTCTGCTGATGCCTCGACTCACAAGGGTGCAGCTCAAGAGCTTTATGCGGGGCAGCAGAATCTGAGTCTAAATTACAGCCCCTAGTATTCAGTCTGGGATCATGCATTATAATGCGTAATAGGGCTAAAAAGATTATTATAATACTGCAGTAAATAAAAAGAAAATGTATCAAACAGCAGAATTCAGAACACTTGCTGAGACTTTCTGTTTATGATGTGGGAGGCTAGAGATTATACTGCATGAGAAATAGGGCTAGAGGAAAAGTATTTCATAAACATTTATGTTCTTAAAAAATATTCTGAAGTTATTGTTAAATAAATGGAAATAACATGTTTCATAGTTTAATCCACAGTAAATTCTTAATGTTCTCCTACATGGCTATAACTGGTTAATTCCAGACGCCACTCAGCTATTTTCTGGCATAAAAGTGCAATAATTATGATATAGATGGAAAATATAAATTCACATATTTTTGATGATTTTTTCAATAAGCTTACAAACATTAAAAAGTGAAATTTAGTTAACCAGTGTGAGAATAATATAAAAAAAAAGTATTTTATCTACTACAAGAAATACCACAAAAATTGTTCACAGATCCAATTCACAAAGAGAACACCTTTTTAATCGTGAAAGAAACCTGACTGATAAAGAACATATTTTTAGGTGAAAGATTATTTTTTACATAGATACTTTGTTTTGTTTAGAATGTGTTTTCTTAAAAATGGGTAATGATAAACCCTTTACACCTCTTTCCATACTGTCTGCTAATGTGTGGTATATCTCTTGGGCTGTAAGCAAGGACACCAATCAATATTTTCTTAAGTAGACGTTTTATCCATCAGATGTTTAGCCTTGTTCCTCACACCAGGCTGTAACTAGTCCAGCAATTCCCTAATGAGGCTGCGATAACTTGCACAGCGGTGATGCTGTGGAAGCTCATTGTACGCCTTCCAATGTATTTCTGCTTTTTCCTCTGACCTGCTCCAGTGTAAGAGATAAAATAGCAGACGACAAAGGCATTGGTCTGACCACAGGACGGCATTTCTCTGTGGATTTAGGGTACAGTTCTTTATAGATCTTACTGGAATTGCAACTATTGAAGAGATAATTTGACTTTTTGAACTTTGTTGGATGCATGTTGACAGAACAGTTCCTTGGGAAAAGGTGGGGAAAGGTTGGTAGTCTGTCTTCTGATACTATCAATGTAACATCTACTTGGGCAATCACAGTTGTGCAAAATCTTGCTTAGCATGTAGAGGAATATAACTATTTTTAATATGAAGTTCAGCAAAGTCTGCTTTACACTGGCATTTTTTTCTCACACAGCATTGAATACTGAAATGAATTCCAGTTCTGAATAATATATGATATAGTCATTACAGCTTTTCTGGGATTCCCATTCTCAAAGTTCAGCCGAGGTCATAGGACATTATTTCCTAAACTACCTTCTCCATAAGTTGTAATAAATACTTCAGAAAAATTAGAAGTCGTGCAATAAACTCACAGTGTTGACATAGGCAGAAATACCTGATGAATCCCTAGACTAAATATTTGTAAAAAGCACCACAGAGACGCACGATATTAAACCAAGATATTACAGATACAATCACTGCTTCAAGGATCAGGGGGGACTGAGGAAAGGTAACAGTCTTTCTGTCTTATTTTTTCTTTTTCGTTTTCATTTGAGTATTGCTTTTTCTCTCTGGCAATATCATTAAGGGAAAGGACAAAGAAAAAAGTTCTAAGTTAAAAAATTTACGTTAATAAATGTAGGAAACATATTGGATTGCGTCAGGGATGGATTTATGGAGGGGAAGCAGGAAAGGTTGCCGGAAGTTGTAGCCCCTGCAATAAAAATACTCAGAAAGCATAAGGGTAAGGGAGGATAATATTTACTATTAAAAGAGGATTGGATTGCCCTTACTGCTATCTCAGCAAAGTTAGGAAATAGTAACAAAGACTTCATATTTAGAGAAGTGATAAGTAAAGATCAGGGGTTGTGGGAAGAGCTGGCTTTCGGAGACACTCAGAAATAAGATGGGGCATGTGGCACATAAATATTTCAGGCTCTGAATTAGGAAACTATTGAGCTTTAATTACACAGGACAGGTACTTGCATCAATAGAAAAATGCTACTTTGGTGCAGTATGTTGGTCAAAAATGTTCCTGTATGCACTGTAATGCAAAGAGTGTGCATTGCAGGGGATTATCTGCTACAGATGTGAATGCTGGTTTTGTTTGTTGCTGCTTATTTGGATAGTTCATAAAGTATTTGTAAATATTTGGTAGAAAATGGAAAATACAAACACAAAAGGCAAATAATTTCTAAAGAGCTCCATTGCTAATTAGATATTTATATTCACAAGAATATTTTCCAAAAATGCTGTAACGTGGCAAGACCCACTGAGAAAAATTTGAAAATCTATCCATTTCTTCAATGTGTCTAATAGGAATATGAGAGCCTTTGATACCCTTGCACAAGTTTTTTTCAATGTTGTATCATTTTAAGGATAGAAGATGAAAGGACTCTCATGTCAGTAATCTTTCATGCATTTCTACAATAAATGGATGGTCAACCAAACCAGTGACCCAATTTAAAAGCATTTGTGTGAGTTTGCACAGGTTTACATGTGAAGAATCTATACCACAATCTCTTTATGTCGAGCTGATCACTGAAACACAGTATATATGAAACAGTACAGTGAACACACCATTGAAGCACTCCGTCTTTCTTGCAGAGGTAGCAATAATTCAAGGAAATAAACCACATGTAGAGCAAATTAGTTAAAATTCTTCATCACAGTTTAATGAAATATTAATCCAAATTAATCCAAACTTCTCTTTCTTAGTTTGTCAGATTCATCCAAAGTAATTTTTTACCACTATCACTTAGCTGTCCCTGTCCCATGGATATGCTGAAGGACTGGGTAGCTTTTTCCTTGACTCTCCCATGAAAAATAATTATTATCTATATTCATTTAACTAACATCTTTTTCAGTGTGAATGAAACTTAGTGATTCAAATATTTGCAAGAAGCAAATAAGCATTAATAATCGAGCAAGCTAAACCAAAATTACTTTGACATGGGCAAACACAGAACACTTCTTGTGATGTTTACCTTGCTGCTGAATAAACCATCCCCACAGTGTTTGCGTTAATGCTGGGCATAGCTGTAGAACATTGCTCTACCAGCTGAACTTACCTCCCCTTCTGTGGACTGTAAGTGCAGTTCTTTCCTGCAGGTAGCCTTTAAGTCTCCCGCAGCTGCGTTGACTTGCACTCCCCTGGGTGCTTCCATCACCAAAGATCTAGTAGGAGATTCAAGTCTGAAAGACAAAACCAACCGCTGAGAAAAAATCTACTAAAAAAAAATCGACAGTGCCACCCAGCGCCAAATTTCACAATGCATGTAGGTACAAACATATTTTGAAAGATAAAGAAGTAAAAATTACTTATACACATGCTTCTCTCGCTATTGTCTATGGCCTGGAGAAAGAAAAAGTATTTAAAAGTATTTAAAAAAATATTTAAAATTCTTTTTACAAAGTGTTTAAATCAATTTCTATTTAAGACAGCATTTAAGCCTATACTGATATAAGCCTGTCTGCTTAGTGATGCTTTCTGGCATTAGTACCTCATCTACCACAATGCATGTAGGTACAAACATATTTTGAAAGGTAAAGAAGTAAAAATTACTTATACACGTGATTGTCTCACTGTTCTCTATGGCTCGGAGAAAGAAAAATTATTTAAAAGCATTTTTAAAAAGTAAGTAAAATTGTTTTTAAATAAGTGTTTAAACCAATTTCTATTTAAGACAACATTTAAGCCTATGCTGATATAAGCTTGTCTGCTTAGTGATGCTTTCTGGCACTAGTACCTAATTTACTTGACTGTACTAATACTGAAATATAGGTGCATAAGATTCCACACATCTTTGCAAGTGCTTCTGTAGTGACAGGTGACAGTCATCACATAACTAAACTGACATTACTGGCATTACATAACTAAAGTCAGCTTAGTGACCGATGACATACGTTCATCTAAATAATAAAGAAAACAAAACAGTTAAAAAGTTTTAAATAATGATGTAAAACTGATTAGAATGACTTGGCCTTCATAGGCTCATTTGTATTTCAGGTAGGTGTAGCAGCATTATGTATGAAGATGAGAGTAAAAGAAATTCTGTTATGTCTCTATTATTGTGGCTTTTTGCATGATATTTTTCTGTTCTGCAAAATACTCATTATGCTCTTTAACCCTGTTATAACACAGTTAAGGCACATATCCCTGGGCTTTGGTAGCCTTCCTCCAAGCAGCTATTGTTCTACTCCTGTCAGTCTTTCCATTTTTTTTTTCTCTATGCTCAAGATTCTCTGTCAACCTTAGTGCAGAACCAAGACACTCTCTCAGCTATGTTGTCTCTCAGTACTGTACAGGTTTCTCTTGACAGGGAAGTACTAATGCAAGGATTTTTGTAGCAGTTGTGCTAACACACTGAATAGGAAAGCTGACCGGATAAAAACTGTATTGAACTAGGAAACCAAAATTTGGATTCCGGTTGTGTTCAGCTGTAGATTTATTGCATAGCCCCATTAAGAACAAGACAAATATTTTAATCTATTTACATTCCAATATAATGACAGAACACAGTTCCTCTTTACCTGAACACAAGCTTTTTGTAAGATGATATATATTAACGATGGAAATGTCTAGAATGAGTAGCTTGAGGAAAACATTGTATTTTCCTCTACCACAAATTGTATTTTGAGTGCTATGTCACATCCATCCAAAAATATAATGAGGTACTAGACGTATAAAGAAAAGAAGAGTTTGACAAAGAATTTGCTACAGAAAAGCCAAATGAAAGATCTATTAAACAATGGAACAAGAGGATTTCTTTGTATTTCAACTATTGAATTTTTTAAGTGTACAAGATAGTGATGGATTATCATTTTGAAACCAAAATGCCACATTTGCATGCAAAGTAAGGCACTGAGGAGGTGTCTGTAAAATATTTGTTTGTTGCATGTCACTGACACTCAATAGCGAAAGTTAGAAATAAAAGAAAAAAGGAAAGAAAGTATATGGCAACACAGAATGAATCTATTGAAAGCGGGTGTCCAGACAGAGGAAAAGACTGTTTGTAGCGATATAAAAAAAAGGATACATGGGATACATGTAGATAGGAGCAGTAGAAAAATCTGTATTTCTGTTAGTGCTAAGCCATTTTCTTTCATTTTTTTGACACTTTATAGGGAGAAGTTAATACAAGGTTCTGCAGTTCTTTGTACCCGGGAAGAATCTGAATATCATGAATTATTTAATCACATACATCAGTGTTTTTCAGGTGATGGTTTGTGAACTTCTGATGTCTCTAAGACAGCAGAAAAAGAGCTTCCAAAACCTTTTAGAAAGCATATAAACTATAAAGTTTAGGTTATTGAAAGTACTCAGTTGCTTAATGAGGTTTTATCTTGAATTTGAAAGGAAACTGAATTGTATAAATGTTAAATGATTGGATACTTCCATTTCATATTTTTCAGCAGCATATTTTTGCAATTTATAACCTACTATCCAGGAATATTAATATTTCCTAGTAGTTTCAGATGCCATTTCATAAACTTGAAGACAAAAGTGCTCTTAACTACTTTTATTGCATTAAATTGATGGGTACTAGCAAAGTCACAAATATTTCTGATTTCATAACATCAAAACCACTCCCAGACCTGACTGAATTTTTTCAGCAGGTTGACAATAAAAATCTGTTTAGGAATATCTTTCAAGAAATTACAATTTTTTTGAAGAATGATTTTTTTTTTTCAAAAATACATGACAGTGCATAGCTCAGAGTTGTTTTGTCTAGTTTCATCATTATTTTTCATCAACTACATTAATGTAAATGACTTCCAGTTTATCTAAAATGAAGACATTTTATCTAAAATGAAGACATTTGGGCAATTAATTTCTGTATTTCAGAAGAAGTTGTTAATATCAACCTTCTTTTTTAGGAGTTTCCTGAAATGAAGTGCTAGAAATGTCAATGAATGGCTGATGATCAACAGAGCAGTTTTTAAAGCACCAGTCATCTATTAGTAAAATTGAATGCCTAAATCCATTTTTCAGTTACTAATTTGCTTTTCTTGTTATTATTCTCTGGATGATCTACATCTGAAAAGTGACTTAGCTGTGCAATCTGCGGCACGCTACTGGAAATGCAAAAGTCTATACACATAGAGTATTTCCTCAATGTTTTGAGACAAATTACTTTTTGATATGCAGCTGCTTTATATTTTTTCTTTGTCGTATTTCTGAAAGTTTTGATTTCTGTTATAAACTTCCTGTAACACTCTACATTTTAATACTCATCCCTCCAAGGAAAAGTGCATGATGACAACAGCATATCAAGAATTTTCTTGCCTTTGAGATTTACCGATGGCCTGTCACAGTGGCACTTATGTCTGTGAGTGAATCCTATTCATACAATTTAATTTTTCCTTTCCCAAACAATAGAAAGCTATGATGAAGAAGGTAACTACTGCTGTTATTCGACAGAAACTACAACACTGTGGGAAAGACAAAGAGGCTTTTAAAAAGAGGTTTTTAGATTAACATAATATGTCAATTCACTATGTGCAATGCAGACAGATCATCTAGCCAGAGCAGAGTAGGGTAGTTTTCTTTTTAATTATCAATGGTTAATTTGCGAAAAAGATAAATTTCAGAGGTTCAAAGCTATATGAGATTGAGCTGAATTCATTAAAGAATTATTGCTAAAAAAGGAAACTTTTCAAATATCTTGAAGAAGTTTCTTTGAGGGTATTAAAATATTTCTCATCAGAAATGCAGAAACATTTATTTTTAATTTGGTATTTTCTGTTTACAAGCTGAACTAAAATTTATTAGAGAAAAATAATTTAAAAAATGAGCCAGAAAGTTTCATTTTGGATTTTAAGAAATATTTTAGATTTACATCTTGCATATCCCTCATACTCACGTGGGATATAATTTATATATGTTAATTTTTCTCTGTTGACTAGCAGAAGGTATTTCTTAAAATAGAAGGAAATAGAAGATTCCCCTGTGTAAATGTGAATAAAATATTTGCTTCATGTCTATTTAAGCAGTGGATCCAACCCACCCTACTTAGTTAAATGACTCATACGAACCTCTACCAGTTTGGAATTTGTATTCAAAACAGGGGATTAAAAAATATGCTTTCAACAAGAGATCGCACATGGAAAGTAGGTACTCATTTCCCCTTTACTGGCATCTTTATGCCTGGGAGTCAAGATATACTTCAATACTTCCAAGTATTTAACATCTGTATATGATGGTCTTGCCAACATATTTTGTTGCAGCTTTTTTCAGTTATCACGGGAATCTTGTTACTAAAAGAAAGTTTTGCAAAAACAAAATCAATGGAAATATACACACTGACTTGGTGAACTTTTTTGTAGATTGCTATAGATAAAAGTAATTACAACATTGATCCTACTGCCTGTAGGTAAACAGGTGTGGCAGACCGGGGCTGCAGATGGGTAAGACACACAAAGAGGAGCAGGGAAGGCGAACGGATATGATATGCCAAGCCACTCTCTACCCCTCTTCCTACTTCTTCCTTGAAAACAAGTACTCCCAAACCCAAAATCCCATAGAACGCAGGGTCTTCCTCTTTCACAAGTGAAATTATTTTGTTCCAAATTAGAATTAAGAATTTTTTAAAACAATAATTTTGAAAATGTTGTTTTCCATAAAGTTCACATAATTTTAAATACATATTATTTCCATTTCTAGTATTATGTACAGAACAGCTGGCTGCCCTAATACGCAAGGAAGCTGAATTCAGGAGTCCCCCAGTGAAAGTGAGAATCCTTAAAGGAGACCGCTGAACACTGATGGTGGTAGATAAAATTCAGGTTTCCATTCAGTCCTTTTCCTGGAATTCAGGCTGCAATCTCCAGTAGTATCCATAAAGGATCACTGGGGACTTTTACAACCATGATGACAAAAATCCTGGAAGCCCTTTTTTAAGATACTGGAACTATTCAGAGGATTCTTGATTGGCTGCGTTTGACATTACAGTGGGAATTCTATGAAAATAAAACCACTGTTCATTCATTTCAACCCCATTACTTATACTACCTATGGGATTATACATGCACTTTTTAACATATATATAAAAATGACTAAAAATCTATTTTTTGTGCTTTTACATGTATCAAAATGTGCACCTCTGCAATATGCATATGAATCATTGCTAGAATAGTTATTTCTCCTGAAGCTTGTGTTATTCTGATGTTTTTAACCTAATGCTTGTATTTTC